TCATCTCAGCCGGGTCCCAGAGTATGGAGACGTGCTTGCGCCTCGGTTCCCCCAGCACCTGCGGCTCCCCTGGGGTCAGGCGGCTGGCTCGGGTGGTGTTGCCTGCCCCACTGTCACAGCTAGTCTGGCTGGGGACAATAAAGGAGAGATGGTCAGTTAACCCTGGAGACACAGTCCCTGAAGCTTTGCCCTTATCTGTGAGCCAAGACCGACAGTTCCCAGGTCAGAGGAAGGTGATGCCCTGGGAGCAAGGCCATGTGTGGCCTGGACAGTGGGCCCTTTCTTACAGGGGCCCCACATGCTTCCAGCATGCTTCCCACTCTACTGTGTCCCAGGGACAAGCAGGCCTGAGAAGTTACTGGCCACACTCTGATCCTTGGGCTGGCTGGGCTTCCCTCGGTGCCGCACACACACAGGGTCCACCAGTGGTGACATCCGAAAGGAAGAGAACTTGTATCCCTGACCACTGGGGGATAAGGTGGCAGGGTGTAAGGGGGGAAGGCGGGGCGTGGGCAGTACACACCTGTGCAATGTGCAGATATGCCCGTGTGCCATGTGCGGCGTGAGTGTGTCCTTGTCCCCAGCCTCCTTCTAGAGGTGGCTTGTGGTGGGAGGGTGTCCCCCCCCCCCGGGGGTCAGAAGCGTGGCTGGCCTCTCCAGAGCCTGGGAGCAGGAGCCCAGGGGTACTCCGGTGCTGCCTCATGGGGCTGTGTGGCACAGACTGGCACTGCACGTGCAGGGACTGCAGCGCGATGGCCAGGCCAAGAAGGCTAAGCAAGGATCGCACCACAGCCCCTCAGCACCCTCCACCCCCACCCTTGTCTGTGTGACAAAACTAAAGACCACTCACCTGATGATCCTTCCCCGGCCTCAGAGGATGCCTGGGACACATCCAGGCCATGGGATATCGGCTCCAGGGTGATGGTGGTCACGGAGCTGGCCGCGTCGGGGTGGTGGTCCTCCTCCTCCCTGGCTGTGACCCCCCAGGCAGGCGACGATGCTGAGGGGTACCAGCTCCAGTATCACTGGGGTGACTGTGCTGGCTGTGTTGGGGTCCTCCTCTTCCTCCTCACCAACTCTGCCCTCTGGGCAGGTGATGACGGGTGTCTCCAGCCCCAAGTCAACCACCAGGAGTGGGGAAGGGGCTGCACTGCCCCCCAGGATGCAGTGCAGGTCTTGGAAATGGAGGCAGGAGAGTGGTTCTGCCCCGGAGCAGGAGCTGTGCTCCCTCGCTCTGGCGTCAGCCTGGAGAAGCTCTTTAACTTTGCTCCGGACCTGCTCCTGGGTCTGGCCCTTGGTGGCCAGGCTATCGGCCATCCAGCCATATATGTCAGGATTGTGCCATCTGGTGCAGAGATCCTGGAGGTTTTCCTCCTTGCCCCACACCTCAAGGAGTGCCAGGATCTCCACCCCAGACCAGGACGGTGCACGTCTTTTGCAGCGCCTGGCAGGCTCCTGGGAGCCCTCTGAGTGCTCCCTGAGATGGGCCGGGGGCTTGAGGGTCTGCCATGCTGGCCAGATGATGTGGTGACTGGGGGGGGAGAGGGCCAGCTTCCTGCCACAAGCCCTTTCCCCTGTGTCTGCAGCTTTAAGAGCTGCAGGGGAAGAGGAACTATAGAGTTCTGAGGAGTGTGGATGGAGTGGCCAGCAGGGCAGCTGTGGGATTTCCTGGAGGCCCCTTATTTCGAAAAAACTCCCTGTGCCGCATCCACACATGCCCTCTTCCGAAATAGCTATTTTGGCAGAGGCGTTATTCCTCATGGAATGAGGTTTACAAACATTGGAAAAAGCCGTCCATTATTTCAATTTTCTTTTGAATAATGCAATTGCTGTGTAGATGCTAGCATTGATATTCCAGAATAACGGGTCAGTGTAGACGCACCCTTAGCATGTTGCAGGCTAGTATGGGACAGATTTACACCCTAGCTTCATGTGAACTACATACTCCTGTAGACAAGGGTAAAATACACAATTCATTAATTCGCAGGTCACTAGTTGACTCAATGGCAACAAACCAATCCAGCCTCTTCATCATTTAAAACAAAAAACAAAACAAAAAACAAACAAACAAAAAAAAAAACCTCTAAACCCTCTCAAACGTGCCCTTCTACCATTCCTCTCCAGTTTAAGACTATAGACTGTTGGTGCAAATACCTTAACTGCCATGCAAGAAAGAAAGCTGCTTTAACTAAAAGCCTGTTGAAATACTCCCCCCTCCCCCATTTCAAAAACTAGCTAACAGACCCAGGTCACACAAATTCACATTAGCAGCGGTTAAAATCATCAAATTATAAATTGCCAAGACAACAACAGAACATATTCTAAACAAACCAAGACAAGATTTACAATCGAATATCCCAGGCTAGGCAACCCCACCAATTATCAAGCATGATGCTAGATTTGTTGGATTTGCACTTGCATACATTAAGTGATGAGAATGTGTGCATGGTGAGACATCTCGCCTCTCTCCCTGCCAGCTTCATTCTTGTGAGACAACGGATGCTGAAACAAATGAATACCCCATAATATTCTGAGCTTGTCAACTGACAGCATCTCTTTTAGGCTGTGTCAAACTGTTTAGCTTAATCCAGTTATGCCTATCTATTGAAATACACGTTTTGTGACATCACCCATTGTTCTTAGGAACCAGCTGTAGCGGTTCACACTTCAATATTTGTTAGCATGGGTGATTTAAAGACATCAAACAAAACATTTTGTTTAGCTTTAGCCTTTCAGACAGGGTGTTTTGAAGGGGCAAGGGGAAAATGTGTACTTTAATGTTACTAAAAGATAACCTTCCTATCTGTAAAAATGATGCAACAAGTATAACCTTAGCCATTTCAAGATGTCCCCTCTCCCTACAAAAAAATTAAACAATTTCATTGCTCTTAAAGATGTGCACCATATCAAAGTTATACACATACATGCTTTTAACGGGGAGGGGAAAAAAAAGAAAAAAAAACAAAACTTACAAAGGTGTCTGAAGCAAAGTTTAACATAATTTTTGTTTCACTAGAACTCCAAACATATAAAACTATATAGTTATGCTAAACAACAGAATATTTTTAGAGCTGTATGGAATTTAAACTCCCAGTTTAAAAGAGAAATTAGCCCAACCTTATCAATGGTAAAATGTGTTACTTTTTTCAACTCAGTGATGTCTTGTACTTGCTTTAAACTTCTCCACTTGAGGGGCTAATGTTACAGGCCTCAAATAGGAACAAATGTGTTAGCATTGCCATGCGTAACACCTCTATGCACTACTGAGCATGGGAATGGTACAGTTGCCAATAAAATATAGAAAATAGATTTACACATCCATAGTTCCATATTTTGTATTTAAGTGTTCTGTTTGGAAAACTATTAAATGAATGCAAGGCTCTGAATTTCAAGCATCACTTCATGTTTGACTAAATGATTTCTAACAGCGTCTGTGAAAATGGCTAGAATATCCATAAGGGTATTAAAACCAAGAGAGATTTAACAATTAAGGCATTTTACTATCTACTCTTCTCAAATTACACTATCTACGCTGAACTGAAATATTTAGAGATTTAAAGCCTATTTCCCTGAAAAAGGAGTTGAAATTTTCAGGTTACTGGATATTAAGTTATGCAAATCAAGATAGTACTTTGAAAAAAAACAATGAAATGTGTACTTACTGTAGACTGAGGCGGCCCTTTGCCACTGCTGCGACCTCTGAAATTATTAAATATGTATCAGATTCAATAAAAACAAGACAATAAGATTGCTGAAGTTAGACATCCCTTGAACTCAAGTACAGAAAACCTACCCAGATTTCAGGTGTTGAAGAGGAAAAAAAAATCGAAGAGCAAGAAATGTTTTATCTCAAAGTTTCCCTTACATCTTTTTAAAAAGAACAAAAGCAGAGAACTGTTAAAGCTCCTATAACATTTTCCTCCATCAATGGACAAACCTAATTTAGAAGCATTTTGCTAATCTTAAAAAGATACCATTTCTACATCTACAACAGACCAAAGACTATAGCAGTGAAGGAACACTTATAAAGCAATTTCACTTGAAAGATGTCAAGTATCGGGGGTAGCCATGTTAGTCTGGATCTGCAAAAGCGACGAGGAGTCCTGTGGCACCTTATAGACTAACAGATCTATTGGAGCATAAGCTTTCACGGGCAAAGACCCACTTTATACCAAATTTATACCTATTTATACCTGCCTCTGGAATTTCCACTACATGCATCTGACGAAGTGGGTCTTTGCCCATGAAAGCTTATGCTCCAATACATCTGTTAGTCTATAAGGTGCCACAGGACTCCTCATCACTTGAAAGATGTGTTACCACTTAAATACTAGCCCTTCTCATATTAAAGTTACCATGTATTTATGAGCAAGTGCTATGTGTTACAAAGGTAGTTATCTGATATTTCGTGTTATGGAGTCAAGTACCACTTCAGAGTCATAAATGAGAACAATAATATGTATGTCTAGAAAAATAAATGGCAACTTTATAAGCAAACTGGTAAATGTGAATTATACCATTTTTATTCTATTAAAAGGCGGTGATACACCACAGTACTCCCAAATATAGCATAGCGATATTACAGACATTACACATGTATCTAAGGGTGCATCTACACAGCACCCTAAACTCAAAATAAGATAAGATGCAATTTGCATAGTGCAAATCGCATCTTATTTCGACTACATTTCAAAACAGGCTATTTCAAAATTTGACGCCTTTACACAGCGCCAAATTTCAAAATATCCCTTAAGCCTCATGGAGTGAGGTTTACCGGGATGCCGAAATAGCATGCCCATTATTTTAAAAAATATTTTGAAATAACGGGCGGCTTGTGTAGACACAGGGTAGCTATTTTGAGATACCTCTGGTATCCTGAAATATCCGTGCAGTGTAGATGTACCCTAAGTTTATAAAAGAATTATTAAATACATTTTATTTTGGAAACAGTATGATCACAAAATCCATGTGCACATAATAATGTCATAGTTTCATGTTAAGCCATAAGTTTTGTATTTCTGACTTTAGACTTTTAATTTCATAACTGTAATGTTACATAAAGTAAGATTTGATCATTTTGTCTCCTTGCACCCCATAGAAAAGTTCTGGGGGCTATTTAGATTAGAGGAATTTGAAAGGTACCTTCTCTCTGTGGTGATCCCAAACTCAGAAGGGATTCTTCATTCTAAAGTGCATACAGCTTTGAATCCTGAATCTGTTTCTGCACTGAAATTTGTATGAGATGAGATACAAGCTATGAAGACACTGTCAGTAATAAAATAATTTGGAACTCCTAATCTTAAACATTAACAGTGAAAAATGTTAGCTTTAAAATGCTTAGAATTTGTTTTTCCATAAATAAAGGATCTGAAAAGCCATTCTGAAAAACTGGTACTACAATACTGGGCAATTCATTATATGACAGCCAGAAAGCAATTTGATATACTTAAAAATGTGAGACTTTTTTCACCCTTCTGGAACTAAAACAAAAATTGAGAACAGCTGACCGTTTCATCTTCAAACACTTACAAAAATAAAGGTCAAAGTCAACTACAGAAAATTTCAGGCCCAAAACTAAAGTTTAAGCAACTCAAAACAAGGGATTATCAAAAGGCATGTTAAGTAGCAGTTAATTAGCTAATCAAGTAGATTATAACTCTCATATAGAACTGGAAGGGACCTTGAAAGGTCATTGAGTCCAGTCCCCTGCCTTCACGGCAGGATCAAGTACCATCCCTGACAGATTTGCCCCAAATCCCTAAATGGCCCCCTCAAGGATTGAACTCACAACCCTGGGTTTAGCAGGCCAATGCTCAAACCACC